TACAGTAAAAGTGTCGATAGAACAGATTAACATTAATACAAAGAATAAAACTACCAAAAAGACAAAGTGGGTAGTATTAGCTTAGGTTATAATGAAAAAATAACCAAAGATAATGTTAATTTACCTTACACTTTTTACAGTGAAAAATCCTATCACTATATGAGGATTTAAGACTTACAACTGCTGCCTGTAATCGGCCAGCATTAGTTATCTTTGTCGATTTTTTATCTGCATTTGACAAACGTTGGTATCCGGTCTTAATAAAACATTTATATGAGCTTGACATGCCACGTGATCTACTTAGATGAATCTATGGATGGCGTCAGGACCAATCTTTCTCTATTCACTATGGTGATATAATGTCTCTTGTTATCAGAATGTATGTAGGAGCTCCACAAGGCTCAGTTCTTGCAGCAACATTATTTCGTCTTCATCTTCATTTTTTGCCACAATGCTTCTTTCAAGCAATATCACACCTTTTTGCAGATGATTTAGCTATTGTTTTAACTGGATCCCCCGAGAAGCGTTTTTCACACAATATCGCAGATCTTGAAAAACGGGCGCAAACTGTGTTAAAAGCATTAGAGAAATTCTCAGACGATAATATTCTACCTGTAAATGTCCCCAAAACGAAAGTGTTCCTTGTTCACAGCGTTGTAGCTCCCAAGAAACCTCAACTCGCATATAAAGGAATTCTGATTACTTTTGTAAATTTTTTCAAGCATTTAGGCGTTGAAATTCGAACTAAAATGGGTTGGAATGAATATATTTTAGGAAGTTTAAGGAAAATACGTAAAATTTACAATACACTAAGTATACAATTCCGTTTTATACCAAAGTCACACGTACCTATGAGAAGAAAACTTTTTTTTGCATATGCACTACCCCACTTCTGTTTACTCTTTCCAATTTTTTTCTATTGCACTGAAAAGCAAAAACTTCAAACTGAACATCTTTATATCGCAGGGCTTAGACTCATATACAGATTGTGGAACTGGGACGATCTTACAATAATGATATTATCTAGAGAACTGACTCTGAGAGATTACTTATTACGATATTGGTTAAAGTTATTTAAGCATCTCTCTGAGTCTCCTGAGGCACTTGTCTATCAACAAACCTGGACGTATCAGATTGCTACCCAGCCAATGAGGAAATGGTATAGAGCGAGTGGTTTCTGCAAAAACAGTAGGTTTCCTCGAAGACTTGCTGACAGAGCACATCACACATATATAGACGTTCTTAACTTCATAAACATTCAAAAATAGCAATATAGCTACTATAAAAAGAGATCAGCACTAGTTCATTCGTTTGTATACAAATACTTTAATTTGCTACCTTAAGTATATTTTTCTTTTGTTTGTATTTGTTTAATAACAGAAGTTTTTAAGCTCTGCCTAGTTTTACATTTTTCAACTTCTTGATGTGAGCATGATTTAAGATAAAATTGAAATTCTTATTGCTTAATCCTTCCACCTATTTTTTTTATCGTGTTATGTGTATTTTATATGAATCTTTTTTTGTTAACCTTTTTCAAGGAACACTAAACTATTTCAACGTTAGAAAAAAAGAGATAAGGAAGAACAAGAAAAATAGACAGGAAGAAAAAATACATTTAAATGTGACTTATAGAGATAAAGAAAGGATAGTCGGATGAGTTTTCCACTTCTTTCCTCTTTAAAATGTTTTTCCTTAAATCGCTGAAGAACGAGCAGAACGGCTGGAAGCCCACCCGAACTTCTTGTAAGCCTATCTAGGTTTTTTGGTTAGCAGTTAGGCAAGTTTTTTTTCTTTATTTAAGTCATCACACTTGTGGGAAAAAAAGTTAGTATCAGTTGTGGAAAATATTGTTCCGTTGTAGAGAAAATTAATTTTCTTGAAACAGGTAGCAAAAAACCAAGAAAACTCACTTGTACTTAGGGTAGTCCAAAAGTAGTGGTTTCAGTATTATATTACTCCACGGAAAGCTTAAATAAAATTTCTTCCCATATGTACTTGTAGTGTTAACAGTGCTGTTTCATTTCTTCAATGTATTACCATTTGCTATTGTTATATGAGAAAAGTTCGACGGAAGCTATGCACCCATGTTTTAGATGAATAAAGAAAATTTTCGTTTCTACATTAAAGTGCGTACTGCACTTCACATTGAACCAAAAGTTATTCACGACGAATTATATTCTGTTTTCAGCGACTTCCATCTTACAGTACAGTTGTAAGGTGGTCAAAATGGTTTCGTGAAGGTGGAAAACAGATTGAAGATGGTACCAACTAACTAGTTACCCAGTTCTAGTGGTGCCCACTGAAAACTGGTTTTTAATTTGACTTTTTTAAAGTTTTTTCAATCAACCAACTTCTTTTTCAGTTCAGAAGTCTGAAAAAGCTCAGCTGTCCACAAGAATTCCCACTTCTGCCCCGTTTTGGACTTAAAAATAGCAGGAAAGGTCACTTGTGTGATCGTTTTACTATTTATTAGTTCGTCAATGGTTTCACTGGATACCAGTGAGAACTGGCCAGTGAACCAGTTTGAAAATTGGTACTCGTACGTATCCGTCATTAACGGGCCAGTTTTTCGATAATGTTTAATACAACGTTTACGTTGGGCTTTACTTTGCCCTTGATATATCAATCTTTCTCAGTTAAAAACTCTAACAGCAAACGCATAATTTTTAAAAACCTTTTTTTATTAATCGTAAACATGTCCGATGCTGTCGCTATAAACTGTGGAGCATCGTCTGTTAATTAGTTCATATTAACAATAACTAAACTAGAATGCAATTGCGCTGCGCACAAGTTGCGATGTCGACAGACTCTGTCTTTGACTGAACCTACCGCTCCAAGCAGATCCTACCAGTAGACTGTGAGTACTGCATTTTTGTTTTGATTTACTCAATATATTTATTTATATATATTGAGTAAATCAAATCAATACAGATATATTTATTTGACATTTCGTCTCAAGAACAAATGGCGCCGGACAATCAATTTTTGTAAATACACGAAAAGTTTCTAAGTCCAAAAACATTCTAATTCTACTTGTGTAGCTTATGGCGCCGAATCTGGACTTAGTTTTGAAAAAAGACCGTACATTGATCAATCTCCAATGTCGAGAGATTATCCTCTCGTTTTCAGAAGTTTTCTACGTAGCATAGTTCTTCAGATCACGAGGTGCACATGTTGCCAAAAAAAAAGGGGAAAGAAAGAAAGAAGAAAATAAAAAAACAACTAGAGAGCAATTGTACTGCGCACAAGTTGCGATGTCGACAGACCCTGGTCATATTAACCGAGACACAGACAGAGATCACTAAAAAATTGAAAGTAAAAATCTCTACTCAGCTTTTAAATGTCTTACTGTTTTATTTATAAAGAATAAAGAATTAAATTATTTCGTCATAAGAACAAATGGCGCCGGACAACCAACTCTTATAAATACACGAAAAGTTTCTAAGTCCAAAAACCATTTTAGTTCTACTTGTGTAGCTTATGGCACGGAATCTGGACTTGTGTTTGAAAAAAGAACGTGCATTGATCAATCTCCAATGTCGAGAGATTGTCCTCCCGTTTTCAGAGTTTTCTAAGTAGCGTAGTTCGCTAGACCACGTCGTGCACATTTTGTAAAAAAATGACTAACCAAAAAAAACCGCAAAAACACATAATGTCTGTCGACATAATTATTTTGCTTTTCTAATTCGTACCATAGCACTATACGGTATAGCTGCTGTTGCTATACTTGAATACCATTCAATTATATCCGATGATATGTATGGATCCGTAATTGGAATAACTACTGAATGTCGTTGAAATGTTCCCGGTTTTTGTTTACATCTTAAAATTAATTGTACTTTATACATTCCACTATTTTTCGATATATAATTATGTTTGAAACGAAATAAACGTGATGCAGTGTATGCTGTTGATGGAGATGTATAAAAATAATCTTTTGAACCGTATACTGATTCTACAACTGTATTGTCTAATAATTTATCACCCGGTAATAATAAATGGCCGATGCTGATAATTGATCGACTAGTCTTATTATTAGTACCATGATAACATGTTCCCCGTTGTTTCCATATAGTTGTATCTGTGGAAGTTGTCACTTTCAAGCCGAAACGTACCCAACCGCGTGCAACAGTATATCCATGTCCACCTACTACACGATAGCCTGGCATATCTGAACGATAGCATGTCTTACAATAACAACGATCATACACAGGATTAAACATAGTTTTTTTTTTCATTTCATTATTTATTTATTTCAGATACGAAGTATTATTATGAAATTTAACGATCATTTTCCTAAAACAGTGCCACTAATTTTAGGTATACTACAAATGTTATTAACATGTGCTATTATTGCCTTAGAAGTTATAAGTGTTTATATTGATGTTGTTTATGGAACAGTGTGGAATTGTATTTATAAAAACGTTTTTAGCTATGTTTTGTTCAGGTAAGTATTACGATGATCCTGCGTTAAGGCAACCTTTATGATACGTAGCACAATATACAAAGTGCTGACACCAGTGACGAGATCTACCTCATTTTGTAGAGGTAGACGACGAACTGAATCGAATGATGAAGAACACCGCATCGCTAACTGTGTTAAAAAAGAAAGTTGTGGGCATTTTATTCTGCCAGCGAAAGTTACATTTTTCAGTAAGTTTTGTCTGAACCCTGAGAGAGAATAGACTCTGATACTATACCAGCTCAAAATAGAAGACCACTCTTTATCTTGTGATTTGAGGGGCTCAGTAGAAGACCACCCCTGTTTCGAGGAGTTTGTTTTTAAAAATTTTAGAATTTTCTAGACGGATCGATCATTTTTGTCATAGTGAACATTGTTGAATTTTTGTTAGTAGTGGTTAATATGGGTAATATCCGGACCATTAACTCCCATCCAAACTAGATTTTTATCCACTCACCGAAGCAAGTCCTGTAAGAAATGCCCTCAGCAGTACGTAGACCAGTGGTCGTCTATTCTGGGAGGAGATTTAAGTTGTGAAGGCCTCTGCTGATCCCATAGCCTAACCTAGAACCTTGAACTTGGTCTCGAATGAAATAACGCGGCAGACTCCACATATTTCAATGTAGAAAAATTATGTGGAAGCTCTGATTCTTGAGAAAAAGATTTTTGAAATTCTCAGTTTTCTAAAGAGACTTTCCACTTTCAAATTTCATTCAAAAAAGTTTTTAAACATACCATCAGATAACCCTTTCAATTCTCTACAAATTAGATTTCAGCCAAGTTTCTACAATGCTAGATAACCTAGTTACAGGCTTTACAACGTTACTGGGATGTAATCTTTGAAAACTTTCACTTGAATCCTGACCTTTTGGTCTGTTGCGGATTTTCTATGCAACTTTTTAATCGAATGTCGTAGAAACTTGGTTGACATCTCATTTTGTAGAAAACTGAACAGTTTGTCCAAGGATATGTTTAAAATGTTTTTAAATACAGTTTGAATTTAAACAATTTTTCAGAAAACGTGGTTAAAAGACTTTTTTCTCAAGATGTTTTGCTTTTACGTTATTTTTCCTCATTGAAATATATAGGTTTTCGTGGGCTCTTTTATACAGGACTAGGTCCATTCTGTATTAGGAACCAGAGTCAACAGACGTTCTGGAAAATGCCTGACAATTGTTCTGAAATGCACTTTTCCGCTCGAACAATAAAATATTTATACAAACCTGCGGTTTTCACGATCAGTTCAGCTTGTTGTCTAGCTCTACAAAATTAGGTAGGTCTCGCCGCTGTTGTCGAATATTCATGTATTGGTGGTAGGTGTCTGGAGTATTCAACCATAAGTGTTACTAAACTTTCGTGTTTTACGTATATGATTCTCGATATATTTTTTTTAAGTTTGCTGTAGCGGTGATCGTACCACATGTTGTGCAACTTACTGTTTGATTTTAAATATTATTAGTGTTTGTCTCGCTGGTGTACTGATTTATTTGATCAATTTTTTATGACCGATCCATGTCATTGCTACTTAGGTGAACAATTATGTTGTTCAAGAACGAGTATTGGTAGTTTCAATAATCAAACGGGTATGGCAACATTAAACTGTACACAACAATTGTTACAAGGTATGGCACCGACATGTCCTGCATATCCATCACGAAAACTTATATTAATTCAATCACAATTGGGTTATGCAGCAGCCATGGCAGCCACATGCGTAACTTACGTTGTTACCTATATTTGGGTTAGTTGTATGGCCTGCTGTAAGAAATAATTAATATTTGTTTTAATATATAAATCTTTATCTAATTCAGAATCTTTATTAAAGCCTTTAGGAAACTTCAGTCTTGTGCGAAATACATGCTCAGGCCTAAAATAGCATAAAAATTTGCATAAAAATTTTGAAATTATTCTGAAAATTAACTAAGTTATGTTCGGCGACATGAAAACACTATCGTTGCAGTTATTAATACTTTGACCGTTCGTTAACCCTCTGTTCCGCAAGCACCACTATAGTGGTGGTAAAATTGCATTTTTCAAAGTCCCGCCCTTCTTGAATACATGAGTGCTTTCGACTTGGGCGGGACTTTGAAAAATGCTATTTTTACCACCACTATAGTGGTGCTTGCGGAACAGAGGGTTAAAGGAATGATCAGGCGACAAATGTGGATATATGTTTAAGTCACACTGCTTTTCTGTGTCGCTTTTGATCCATTTTTTTATTTGCAGATTCGAAACATATAGATTTTTTCTATTCAATGTTTATTTTGAAATTCAGTGCTCTTAGACATAGTCTTACGCGTTTTGTCAGTCTCGTCCTACTGTTACTGGTTTTAGAGGGAATATAGCATGAATATAAGTCTCTACAGCAAAAATGGTTGCTGGCATATATCAGCTTTCGTAAGTATTCGTTGCAATCTCGATTAACATATTAGTTACAAATGCTTTGGCAATAGCGTAAAACCTATCGCAGTTCACTGTTTCACGGGCTACGTTTAAAAAATTTCTAATTCTATCACTACAATTAAGACAAAGAAAATGATAAAAAATTACTCAAGGACTTTCTCTTCTGCATTCACGACATACGTCATACGCATTTGATCTTTGAAACCGGAGTACACAAGAGTATCTGGATCCACCAGATACCTAATGTTACTATTCTCTGTAACTTTTGTGTTTCCTGGCTAGTCCAAAATAAATTGAACTTGAACTTGAACTTGAACAGCTATTCTTTCGTGATGGTTACTTATTTCATTTAGCGATTAATGTTTATCAGAAAAATCTGTATTACACGTGCAGGTAGCTTTACTGTTTTTTTGAGTATTGCACTTGCATCGACACACCGAAGCTCCAAAACTTGTAGATTTATAAATGCAATACTCGTTATCCTTTCAAAAAACGAGAAAAAAAGTGGTGAGTATTGCAACCTCTACCAGAAGAAGTCAGCCGTTACATTAAACATGATTGATTAACATTTTAACACCATGTCCACTGTGAAAATTTTTAAGCGGCTGCATCAATGAATCGTCTATTAAGAACATTAGGTACATGAATAGGTGAAGGACGAAACTTCAAGCCAAACGGGCGTCGTACCAGCTTTTTGCTTGTTTAATATTTTCTTATTGATTTTTACTTTATCTTGTTTTCAGAGTGTGTGCCTGAAGATGGTAATTGATAAACTTGTAGATTGTGGAATAAGATTGCTCCATACAAATATTGTTAAAATAGCGTTGTTTTGCTACTTATTAGCGTTCTAAAATTGGATCAATAAAGAATTATTTTAGATGAGCATCCTTGATAGATGACCTATAGATCCGATGCGTATGCATAATACTGTGAACTGTCATTAAGAGCCATCCCGTGTCTTCAACGTCGTTTAAAAATCGGCGATTATCGCGTTTTTCGAAAAAGTCGCCGTTTAGCCGAGATAAGTCGGCGACTTTTCAGCAGATCGCGAATAAACGTCATCTTTTTCTGGAAATGCGATTAATCAGTATTAACCGAAAAGTCGGCAGAAGAATCAGCGCATACGATATCTCTTGAAGGTGGAAAGTAAACGGTTCCTGACACTGAAGAAGCTTAGAAGGAAAGAATAACTTTGTCTGGAAACCATTTGCACCAAAATAGTTCAATGCTGTGACAAAAGATAACGGAAGGATCCAAAGTCGAAATAGGTCATGGGAAGCTAAAATCATTTCGTTCTAAAATCACTTTTTCACCGTTGAACATTTGGTAACTTGAGTCTCTACGGTAAAAAGCCTTTAAAATCAGCTTTTAAACTTAAAAATATGTTTTACAATAAAATATTAGTCAAATTCCGGCTAAAAAAGATATTTTGAAAAACCGTACTATAGATGACGCTAGTATACGGTGTATCGGAAAAGAAAATCGAAATTTTTGGCAAAGTTCACGATAAGTTACTTTTCGGTTGTTTTGTCTATTTGTGTGTTGTATCTGAAGCGAAAGTAACTGTTGATACAACTGAGCTTGCACGAAACACAGTGGTATTTTAGATCACTTTAGATAAACTCTTTAGCACTATTTATTAAGATTTTTCAATGGTCCAAGTCGACAAAGGCAAAATGTAGACTGTTTAAAAGACAAAAACATATTCATAACCGATCGATTCCTTACTTGAAAAATTATAGCTTTCGTTCTTTCAATCTTTTTTGATTAAAGTCTATTAGGGCGAAGTGGACAATGAGGTCACAAGAATATCACCAGACTGGATTGACATGCAAAACTTAAATTACAACAGCCTCGGATTTATACCTGTGCGGATTTTCCTTCGAAAAATTATTTTCTAAAAACGGATGAGCGAGAAGCATTTTTTAAGTGAATATTTCAACGTTGAAGAGAAATTCTTCGATTCTATCTTTAAAAAAAGCGAACAGATTTTCAAAAAGTTTGTATGTTTTTCCAATAGTGAGATGTTTTTCGCTATAATTAAAAATTTCGAATAGAAAAGCAAATTTTAAGAGACTTTCACAAATCGATCAGGCCTCGGTTAAAATTTTTTGCTGTATATTTATCTTCGTAATGATCAAAACTTGTCTTTTTCTTGCCCCAAAAATTATATTAATCCTGTAAAAGCACTGTGATTTGTTTTTCAGTTTTTATGTTTTGTAACAAATACAACAAACAAAAAAAACAAGAAATATAACAAAAACAAAAGCTTTTTAACAACAAAAAAAGATGGTCTTTTGTATTATTCACTTCTTGCTGTATTCTAAATAAATAATTAAGGTAGATAAAGAAAGAAAGCAAGACTGACGATTTATGACCCTTCCATAAAAGGCTTTTAAAAAGAATTTGGAAAGAAACATACCAAAGACAACGAATCATTCCTTCGTTAGTCTGTCCTCGTGCGCATATGTACACAAAGTTTAAAATTCCGATTTTCTCCAATTCTTAAAATCTAAAGTTCTACTACACCAGAATTCTACTATTCTTTACACCGAATATTCTAAAATTCGACTATTCTTTATAGATCTAAAAGTCTAAAACGCTACAATTCTACTGTTCTTAAAGTCCTAAATTTTATACGTATAAACCATGTCGCTCTTTACACACATGAGCTAAAAAACATTGTTCTCTCGTAATTCTTTCGTTTAGTCTGTCCTCGTGCACATATGTACTTTAAAGTTTAAAATTCTAATTCTATAATTCTTAAAATACAAAATGCTAACACTCTGAAGTCCTAATACGCTAGAGTTCTACTGTGCTTTACATCTCAAGTACGCTAGAGTTTTATTATTCTTTACACCTGCAATTCTAAAATTCTAATATTCTACGTACCTTACGATAGTTATCTCAGAGAAAATTATTTTTGTTTTATGTCTTTATATTAGAAATTGCAGTGCATGAGCCGTGCAATGTCAAACATTTCTCTGTACAAATTATTTCTCACAAAAAGAGATCGAGGTATAAATAAAAACCGGGTATTTGTTTACTTCTGTATCATTTCTTGTTTGGATTACGGATGGTGATGTAGGCAAATTAATCGGATGATTTTCAGTCAGATCTTCACAAACAGTTGAAATATTTTCATTTGTCGAATTAAAATTCATCTAAAAATAAAAAAAAAGAAAGATCTGTGTTTGCATGAGTGATTCTCTGAGAATGAGGTTGAGCATAATTCTTGTATTTATTCAAGCTACAAGCATAAATAATACGTATAAAGCATGCCTTTCTGCACATACATGAGCTAGAAAAACATTGTTCTCTTATAATTCTTTGATTTAATCTGTCCTTTGGTTATCGCACAAAGAAAAATTAAACAGATAAGTTCGAGCGACATTTCGCTCTGTTTTGACGCACATGTACCCAGGCAAAAGAAAAAATCGGTAAGCTAGCTCATCCTAGGTAAAGCGGTACATTTAGCTAGCTCAAGCTAGCTACTACCTAGCTCGAATAGCGTAGAAACGTTTTTACCATTATTCAACCAAAAAAGCTTTTTTCTCACTTGCTGAAAAATAATTTGTATTATCTACTTTATTTTCTTCTAGAAAAATGAACAAAAGCTCAATAAAATCATTCGACACAGAGTATGTCGCACAGAATTTTGTTCCTGTATTTCTTGGAAAATTTCTCATCTCTATTCGTAATACGGCTTCATCTTTCATGGCATGGTCAACCTCCTGAGTTTCTGCACACACCTTCGTCTGTGCTAAAAACTGAACGACACGAAAAGACAGAGAAGCCTCAGATAAACTTATAAAAAGATAAAATCTTTCAATAACTCAAAGTGAAGGACTTACTCGACGCAGAAAAACAATAATTTTTGATGATGTCGCGGATAATCTTCCAATATCTAAACTTTTAGTTCTTGTTGATTGTGTATAAGGATGATTTTCGAAGTCAAAAAATGCTTCATTTTTATCTTCGAATCGTAAAACTCTTAATGAATCTGTAAATTGACTAATCATCAATAATGCACGTGGTTCATAACGATAAACATTTTGGTTTGTATCAAATATTTGGATATTTATTGCTTCAAATTCATCATACGTTGTGCTTTCTAATAGATACATCAATATTGATGGACACTGATGATAATGTTGCGAATGAATTTTAAGTTTAACTACAGTATTATCCATCATTGATTTTCCACATTTTGTACATTCATCATTGTCGGCCTCAAAACACGAGGTAATTGGAAGAGCAATAGTGGATGGCTTTCGACAATTATCATATTGATGTAGAAATATTTGTTGTTGTTTATTAAGTAATAAATCATCATTTCTTTTGCATTTTTGACAAATAAAAAATGTT